TTTGCCACCTTCCCTACAGGATGGGTCTTTTGTCACCTCTGCATTCTCTGAATATATAACTTATTCGTTGACTATTTTTGGCATTCGCAGATTTTCTGGTTTCTGGTGCACAGCTGGTCACCTGTGGGAGGTAGGTTTTAGAGGCAGCAGTGATGGTGAGGGTGGTGCAGTAGAAAAGCAGCAATTGGGGAAGGGAAGCCTTTATTAGCACTAAACACATGGAGAGGACCTAGGTCAAGGAGATGGGCAGGTCTTCTGACCTGACACACGGTGCCTGAGGCTTCATGGACTTTTGCTGGGGGCGGAGCTTGAGGGGTGGGTTTAGTGACATATAAGGAGCTGATTGGAGGCTCCCTTGTGTGGGCGGGAAAGGTCAAAAGAAGTTGTACCCAGGGCTGGAGTGGGGAAGGAGGAGGAAGTGGTCATTGGGGAGATAAGCTGTTGAATTGGGGATTCAGACGTGTTGGATCAGGGCCATGATAACTTAGCAGTCTGTACTTGGGCATAACCTATCAGTGAGGACTTGTAAGCTTTTGGGGGAACACACGACAGGCACATGCAGCAGTTTGGGAAATGCTCCTGGAAGGAGGGAAGCAGGGAAAAGGGTTGCAGGACTCCGGGATCACCTGCCATCCACTGGTGTGATGGGTTTTCATGGCCCTGGTCCTCTGCCAAGGGCCAAACCACAGTGTTTCTCATCCCATTCACAGGCACTGTGAAGAAACCTGGCCTGTCCACTCAAGTCAAGGAGGAGTCTTTCTCACAGGAAGACCACCTGACCCTGAAGGCGCTCCAGTCCCATTGATGGCCGGATGCAGCAGGAATCTTTCTAGCCACACCTGCCAGTTCTGAGGCTCTTGAATATAAGTATTTTTTAAAATAACCAATTGTGTTGGAAATATTATTTGAACAAATATTATGTGCTGAGACCCATGGTCTATTAACCTCTGCATGTTTCTGTGTGTACCCATGTGGGTCAGGGGACTGGGGTATTCCCAACCTCTTGTGGACACACAAAAACCTGCTGCTGCTCTCTGCTAGTCCTAAGACCATCCCCTTCCTGGGGCAGCCTGCTGCCTCTAAGGTGCTGTCGCTGCTCTCATGGCAGACTTGGAGGTCAACAACATGGGCAAGCGCAGCCACTTCTCCACTGCCTTTTTCTACCATCAGACATCTGCTAAATTTGCTTCAAAGTGGGCAGGTCGGTGAGGCAGGAGGATGTAGGGGTGAGATCAGCTTGGGCAACTTAGCAGGACCTTACCTCAACAACAAATGAAAGCATATGGTGAATGGTATCATGTCATCGTAAAATGTACCAAGAAAAGCAATTAATTAAAAAGAAAAACAAGCTGGGGAGGAAGAAAGAAGAGAGGAACAGAGCTAAGAAATGTTTATTGCAAGATGTCTGGCAGTATAGTTTTCTTTAAGCTGTTTGATTTAGTTTAGACTCTGGATTATTACATCTCTCTCTCTCTCTCTGACCCCCAGGTTTTATACTCAAATTTACCACTTCTCCATGCTATTCTCTGTAGGAGAGACAAAGGGGTCTTCTTAAGACCCAAGGCAAACATGTCTCCCCTCTCCTCTGAAGGTCTGACAGGTTCACCAGGGCCTAGAGAATGTCCTTGCAGGCATGCTCAACCCGGCAGCCTTCTCCTGTATCCCTGCTGCCTGTAGGGGAATTTGGGGACAGGTCGTCAGAACTTTGACCATTGGTTCCCTGCTAGTCCTCTTCGTACTGGGAACTGAATGCAGGCCTTGCGTTTCTTAGGCAAGTGCTCTATCACTAGTCACTTTTCCAGCCCTCACCAATTTATCAGGCAAGCTGCGAGTCCTAGAGTTCAAGCCCTGACTTGGCTCACACTTTTTTTTTTTTTTTTTTT